AAAAAACTCAGTTGAATAGAATATAAATGGGGGTAATAATTTAGGAGGGATAATACTTCTAAATTCTACTGTATGTGTTTTGTTTATTTCAGATGTTTTGATCCTGGTGTTGAATGCTTTTGTAAGTCAAATCCTGTGGTGATGTTGAACTTGTGTGTGCTTGTATGATGGTTTGTGCTGATCTGCATTCTTCAGCAGGTTTAAACACACTGATGCCCTGCAGGGCCTGAAGAGCCCTGACGTCCACCTTTACTCTTCAAAGACCTTTAAGCTTTAGATGTGTTTAACCAGCTTAATGACTGAAGGCCAGCTAATTATTTTTATTGTCAGGGAATTATATTATATTATATTATATTATATTATATTATATTATATTATATTATATTATATTATATTATATTATATTATATTATATTATATTATATTATATTACTTTGTATTATTATATTGTATTGTATTATATTATATTGTTTTTTATTATATTATATTATATTATATTATATTATATTATATTATATTATATTATATTATATTATATTATATTATATTATATTACTTTGTATTATTATATTGTATTATATTGTTTTATATTATATTATATTATATTATATTATATTATATTATATTATATTATATTATATTATATTATATTATATTGTTTTATATTATATTATATTATATTATATTATAGTATATTGTTTTATATTGTTTTATATTATATTACATTGTATTATTATATTATATTATATTATATTATTTTATATTATATTATATTACATTGTATTAATATTTTATATTATATTATATTATATTATATTATATTATATTATATTATATTATATTATATTGTTTTATATTGTTTTATATTATATTACATTGTATTATTATATTATATTATATTGTTATATATTGTTTTATATTATATTATATTATATAATATTATATTATATTATATTATATTATATTATATTATATTATATTATATTGTTTTATATTATATTATATTATATTAATATTTTATATTATATTATATTATATTATATTATATTGTTTTATATTATATTACATTGTATTATTATATTATATTATTTTATATTATATTGTTTTATATTATATTATATTATATTATATTATATTGTTATATATTGTTTTATATTATATTATATTATATTGTATTAATATTTTATATTATATTATATTATATTATATTATATTATATTATATTATATTATATTATATTATATTATATTATATTGTTTTATATTATATTACATTGTATTATTATATTATATTATATTATATTATATTATATTATATTGTATTATATTATATTATATTATATTATATTGTTTTATATTATATTATATTATATTATATTATATTGTTTTATATTATATTATATTATATTATATTATATTATATTATATTATATTATATTATATTATATTACATTATATTATATTATATTATATTATATTATATTATATTGTATTATTATATTATATTATATTATATTGTTTTATATTATATTATATTATATTATATTATATTATATTGTTTTATATTATATTACATTGTATTATTATATTATATTATATTATATTATATTATATTATATTATATTATATTATATTATATTATATTATATTATATTATATTATATTGTTTTATATTATATTACATTGTATTATTATATTATATTATATTATATTATATTATATTATATTATATTATATTGTTTTATATGATATTATATTGTTTTATATGATATTATATTAATTATAATTTTTTATTTTAAGAATATTTTTAATATACAGAGAAATTGTTTTTAACAATTTTTACTCAGAAACTGCTAGTAAATTTTCCCAAACACTTAAATAGCTTGTTTCCACTGACTGGTACAGTGCGGTATGGTACGGGTCGGTACAGGTCACCTTTATCAAGCTTGTGTTTCCACTGCTAAAAGGGTACCAATGACACTCTTTTGGTGGGCAAATAAAAATGTGAACCCTTCGAAAAGGTACCAGTGACAGCTCGCATATACCATTATTTAAGTGTAAAGTTGTTAAACCTCATTAGAATTAATTTTTTAATAATGAATTGCTGACTGCAACTTATCAAGCTTATTAAAATAAGAGTCCTTATTAAAATAAGCAAATTACATTCATGTTACATGAGAGGACTAGATAGAAACATTTTGTTTAAGTAAATAAATAAATGCTAAATAAAAATAAACATTAAATGTTGATTTAAAAGAAAATTTGTTTTATTATTTAAATTCTTGTGGTTAGCACTGTCACCTCACAGCAAGAAGGTTGCTGGTTCAAGCCTCTGCTGAGTCAGTTGTCATTTCTGTGTGGAGTTAGCATGTTCTCCCTGCGTTGGTGTGGGTTTTCTGTGGGTGCTCTGGTTTCCCACAGTCCAAACAAATGCACTAGATGAACTGAGCTAGCTAAATTGGCCGTAGTGTATGAGTGTATGAGTGTGTGAGAATGAGTGTGTATGGGTGTTTCCCAGTACTGGGTTGCAGCTGGAAGGGCATCCGCTGTGTAAAACATATGCTGATATAGTTGGTAATTCATTACGCTGTGGAGACCTCTGAAATAATGACTAAGCCAAAGGAATATGAATGAATATGCTAAAGTGAGCTTCTTTTTAATCAAACAATAAAAAGTGCATTAATAAATCACCTTTAGATGGACAAATTAATAGACAATTTTTAATTTGTTCATTTAATTTTTGTTTTAAAATGTACTTTATTAAATCAGTAAAATGAAGCATTTAAAAACATTTTAAAATATATAAATAAACAGGCAATTTTTATAATCTTGATTATTCAAATAATAAAAAAAGTACATTAATAATATTCACCTTTAAATGCCATAAATATGCTAAATGATTTTAGAAAATGTACACAAAATAATTAGTATTTGAAGTAAATAAATTATTTTATTTGTAAATAATTGAATTGTTAATTTAATTCAATTGTTTGCACTCAATATTACTTCTATAATAAATAGCTTCTTTTAAGATTCTGCTACAGTGTAAAATATTTTCCACAAGTGTATTTGCAGTGTTTGTTTGGCAGGTCAGATGTGTAAACTCTGTGTCTGATGGTGAATATCTGCAGTTGGGTTGGCAGGAGGTTATTTATATCCATATCTCAGACACGTGCTGTGTTTCACTGAGGTCGTGTGTCCTGAAAGAAGAGCACTGAAGCCTGTGTGCCGACAGCTGCTCATGCTTGGGTTTTTTGTTGTTTATTTGTTTGTTTGTTTGTCTGTAATCTCCTGCTTTGTCCTCTTGGATTCAGTTTTCAGTGTAACGTCTGACTGGATGATCATTATTCAGACTGAGCTGCGGCTCCATCTGCTGCTCTCAGAGCTACACACACACAAAGAGAGAGAGAGACGCACGCAGAGTGAGAGAGAAATAGAGATTTGCACACATATACAGAGAGAAAGAGAGATGACACACATAAAAACAGAGATACACACATTTTTTTACTTATAGACATATTTATTTACCTGCTAATCTTTATCTGTTTACTATTAATTCATACAAATTAAAAGATAATTTTGAACTCATAGAGATTGGTTTTATTAATCATTTATTTTATTTTCGGCTTAGTCCCTTTATTAATCTGGGGTCGACACAGCGGAATGAACCGCCACTTTTCCAGCATATGTTTTACACTGCGGATGCCTTTCCACCTGCAACCCATTACTGGAAAACATTCATACACACTAATTCACACACATACACACATACGGTTAATTTAGCATACCCAATTCTCCTATACCTCATGTCTTTGGACTTGTGGGGGAAACCGAAGCACCCGGAGGAAACCCATGTGACCCCGCCCAGGCTCGAACCAGCGACCTTCTTGCTGTGAGGGCATCGTAATGTTTACTTTTATGTAAACCTGTATTTTAATAAATACAAGTCAGAATATTTTTTTAACAGAAATAAATACTGAATGACAATAAGATATTATTTAACTCATATTTTGATATTTTGCAGCGGCATCTCGACTTCTAAACACACTTACTGCACTGCTTTCACGTCTATCATGGTCTGCTCCCTTGTGGAAGAGACAAACACTTTAGTAAACGAACCACTTATTATAAAGGTGATTTAAGTCACTTTGAACGTGGCCTGGAGGTTGGTGCCAAATGGGCTGGTCTGAGTATTTCAGAAACTGCTGATCTACTGGGATTTTCATGCACAACCATCTCTAGGGTTTGCAGAGAATGGTCCAAAAAAGAGGAAATATCCAGCGAGTGGCAGTTCTGTGGGCACAAATGCCTCGTTGATGCCAGAGGTCAGAGGAGAAGGACCAGACTGGTTCCAGCTGACGGAAAGGCAACAGTACCTCAAATAACCACTCGTAGCTTGCATTGGCTCCCAGTTCAATCCAGTATAATTTTTAAAACACTCACATTTGCATTTAAAGCTCTACATGGCACCGCTCCTTCCTATATCTGGAGGTTGGAACTAATCTTTGCAGGACACCGGCCCTCCAGGACCGAGTTTGGGCACCCCGTCCCCTGCCAATGCCATAGACCAGTGGTTCTCAAACTGTGGTACGTGTACCACTAGTGGTACGCAGGCTTCCTGCTAGTGGTACGCGGAGGAATGATGTATGTCATGTACATGGTACAAACATTTAAAAATTAATCAAAAAATACGTATATAATATGCCATATATGACATAAAGCCTATATTTCTAAGGTAATCTGCCACATTTTTTTTAACTGTGCAGAATTGTGGCTGCTTTACTGGGCCTACTGCGCTATTGTATTTCAATACTACTCATTTTGGTGGTACTTGGAGAGACAATTTTTTTCTGAGGTGGTACTTGATGAAAAAAGTTTGAGAACTACTGCCATAGACTGTAAAAAAAAGAGACTGCATACGCACCGCATTGCAGCCCACAGGTTGTAAATAAATGAAGTGCAAGTTTGAGCGCGCTCACGTCACGTCCCTGTTGCTATGGTGGCACGCAACACACCTGACGCTTGAATCAAACGGTGAGTCAAGGAAGAAGCCTCTGTTGACTAATAAAACAACTTTCAAGCCAAAATAATTATAGAGAACTTCCAACTTTCACTTATATGTTTCTAAACTTTTAACGTGCTGGTTTTTGTTTGATCATGGCGTCGAGGATCGATCAGCTCGCGAAGCCCAAAACAAACCTGCTCAAATTCCCGGACAGGTGAGTCCCACAGAATTAAAACAAAACTGAAACTTTAATGAAACATTTATAATAAAAAAGAATATTTGTATGTGTATTTAGGGACATTTTGTCTTGAAAATACGAGGGCCAATCTTTAACTACTGGCACTTCTAAGCCTTGTGAAGTTGAGTAAAACAACTTGTTTAAAATTAACGTAACATAGCCTCATACGTTTAATAATTTTGTCTAGTTTTAAGACCTGTAAGAGGACAAACTTGGATAAGAAAAGAAACGTTTTATCCATCGTGAACTGAAGAAAAATGGAGAGATAATTTTTTCACCACATTTCTAAACATAATAGTTTTAATCGCTCATTTTACAAGATATTTATCAAGACACTTCTATACAGCTTACAGTGACATTTAAAAGCTTAACTAGGTTAATTAACAAGGCAGGTTAGGGTAATTAGGCAAGTTATTGTATAACGATTGTTTACTCTGTAGACTATCTGGAAAAAAATATAGCTTAAAGGGGCTAATAATTTTGCCCTTATAATATATATATATATATATATATATATATATATATATATATATATATATATATATATATATATATATATATATTCTGTGTTATTTGTAATTTCCATAGTAAAAAAAAAAAAGTCTAAGTTCTTAAACTCTTACATTAGTTATTTAACGTTATATAACTTCCTCTGGTGTGAAACTGAGGCATTCAAAAGGTATTAATGCATCATTCTCATTAATTTGAACAAAATGTGTATGAAACACCATTAGTAGATTCATTCTGTCAAGTCTGTTACTGTGATATTTCAGTGAATTTCTCATGCACTTTTTGAAAATCATAATATGATGTTAATACATAAAGTTGTTGTGTTTTAGACATGCCATGCTGTTTCTGGTTTAAGGTTTGCATCTTGAGCTAAAACACAAAATGAATGAAAATTTCAACTATTTGTCAATTTATACATTCATTCGTTCATTTTCCTTCAGCTTAGTCTCTTTATTTATCAGGGGTTGCCACAGTGAAATGAGCCGCCAGCAAATCCAGCATATGTTTTACACAGCCCTTGCAGTCCCCCTCACATTCACAAACACACATATACTACAGGCAATTTAGTTTATTCAATTCACTTATAGCACATGTTTTTGAACTGTGGGGTAAATCTTAGCACCCAGAGGAAACCCACGCCAACACAGGGAGAACATGCCAACTCCACACAGAAATGCCAAGTGATCCAGCCGGGGCTCGAACCAGCTACCTTCTTGCTGTGAGCCGACAGTGCTAACCACTGAGCCACTAATGTATTTACAGTATATAATTTGCATTTTTCTTAACCAAAGAATATAATTTTTGTTATTAAAATGAAGTATTAACATTTGTAATAAATCTAAAAGGCCATCTTTAACCCCTTAAAATGAGGTTTAATTACTATTGTCTGTGTGTTGAGATTTTTCAGGGATCTTATTAAGTAGTGTTGAGTACTTACTTTTCAGATTTTATGTTTTACCATCACTGCTTGTAATACATAAACTACTTTGAATAAGAGTATTAAAGACATTTCCAACGCATTATATGAACCCATACAGATGTCTTTTTTGTAAAACAAAATCATACTCTTTTCGAAAAATGTATTATATAAAACGAGGCAATTACTATGTGGCAATGTGCTCTACAAAAGACAAAACTGATCTGCGGAGTCTCAGGAGAATAAAGAGCTCCATTCTCTCACACATGGTGAGAACCTCTGTTTCTGTTTGACCTAGTTATAGAAATGGGCACATTTGCCCACCAGGGGGCTCTGGAGCTCTTTCAAACAGCAGCAGATTAACTTGGGCTTCCTGTGGTGAATTATTCATGCTTTATATACTGTTGAAGTCAGAATTATTAGCCCTCCTGAATTATATATTTATTTCTCCAATTTCTGTTTAACAGAGATAATATTTTTTTCAACACATTTCTAAACATAATAGTTTTAATAACTCATTTCTAATAACTGATTTATCTTATGTTTGCCATAATGACAGTAAATAATATTTTACTAGATATTTTTCAAGATGCTAGCTTTCAGCTCTAAGTGCTTTTTAAAGGCTTAATATGGCCCTTCTGTGGAAATTTTTCTACTTTTACAAAAAACAAAAATGTACATACATACACACACACACACACACACACACACAGAGAGAGAAGCCAGTATTATTACACCCCTTTTAATTTTTTCTTCTTTTTTAAATGTTTCCCAAATGATGTGTAACAGAGCATAGAAATTTTCACAGTATGTCTGATAATATTTTTTCTTATGGAGAAAGTCTTATTTGTTTTATTTCAGCTAGATTAAAAGCAATTTTTAGTTTTTAAACACCATTTTAAAGACAAATTTTTTAGCCCCTTTAAGCAATATTTTTTTGATAGTCTACAGAACAAACCATTATGGTTAGAAATGTGTTGAAAAAATCTTCTCTTCATTAAACAGAAAGTAGGGGAAAAAACAGAGGCCGATAATTCAAGGACCCTAATAATTCTGAGTTGAACTGTGTGTGTGTGTGTGTGTGTGTGTGTGTGTGTGTGTGTGTGTGTGTGTGTGTGTGTGTGTGTGTGTGTGTGTGTGTGTGTGTGTGTGTGTGTGTAATATTTATACAACAGTTCTGTCTGGTTCCTGAATCTGATTGGCTGATAGCTGTGATATATTTAAGCAATATCAGCACCCGTACAGCCTCTTTACCCTTTGTGTATTACTCCACCCACATACAGCCAGCAAAAAGCAGACACTGCAGATCTAAAGTCAAAAAGATGTTTGCTCAGCTGTTCAACTGTCAGCTTATGATTTGAATCAAACGCGAAAGAAAGTAGTTTCTCATACAAAAGGGTTTTTGAGACTCTCCATGTTTGATTTTGTTTTTATATACACAATTATGCTGTCAAACTGTTGTATAAACGCAATATCACACTCGTAGCAGTGTGATATGGCTGTATATCGGCACTGGTGGGGGCACTAAGGCAACGCACGCCTCCCACCAGTGCTGATATGCAGCCATATCACATTGCTACTCGTGTGATATTGCTCATATATATATATATATATATATATATATATATATATATATATATGCTTAATTGCCACAATCCCAATGGATTTGGTGCAATATGTAATTTTTTATGTGTGTTTTTTTATTATGTATAGGCGCTCGGTGTACTGGCTTGATGAGCTACCATCCAGACCAAAAAGCTCCACGACTGCCTTCGGTATGAGAATCACTTCCTTTACCAAATACTTTGATCTGTTGTGAAAATCAATTCAGAGGGGTCACAATATTAAACATTGTAAATATGACACCTATTGTTTTAAAATGAATTCAATATATACTGTATGGTTTAAGCCAGTGTTTCTCAAACACGCTCCTGGATGACCACTTGCTTTGCACATTTTCCATGGCTGTTTTGCAATATGCATTCTTCAGTGATTTAAGAAAAAATGATTATGCTTGAAACAACACATATGTGACAATATAGTACTCAAAATATTGCCAGGGTGATAGAAGGTAAATAATAATAACAGCACAAAGAATAAATAAAACAAACACAAAAAACAAGAATATAAGTAATTAAATAAAATTACAAACAAGCAGGACCTTTACATTAATCAAACATGTTGAAACTAAAGCACAAATGGACAGATTTAATGGCCTTTCTATTAGAACTATGTCGAATAGTACAAAAGTAATTTTTCATTTCCTTCTAAAACAAAGTAAAACAGTTTTGTTTTTGTGGAAAATTTACACTTATGAATATGAAACTTAATCAACAATATAAATAGGTTAATAACAAAAACTTTATTCAAAGTATCATAATTAAAATATCCAAAATGACGTTTTCAAAATGAAAATTAGAATTAAAGTATCTTTTTTATATTTAAAGACAGAAGCATCATACTAAAGCTTTTTAACATAATCACAGTGCTAAAAGATGTGGGGTACAGTTTCCAAATACAAAGAACTAAAAGAGTACATTTAAAAAGGATATAAATTGGGAAGGAAATGTTTAGCAGGATATAATTTATGATGTAGTTCAAAAGATATTTCTTTTATCTTATTTGTACCAAAAATTTGTGAGGTAATTACCAAATATTTTACCTTTTAGAAACTCTTACAAAATTTTTCCAGTAGGTTCTAGAGCTAGGTTTGGAAACATCTTGTTTTAAAAAAAGAGAGCGAATAGATTTGTTATTTTTAAGCTGGGAAAAACAAATTTGACCACATATTGTGTATGGTAAACTGATTATGGGCATATGAATCCAAGTTACATCTCTAAATAACATTCTTCAGCGGTTTTGCGTCCTCGTGTTCCCATGTAATGTAAGTTCCAAAACTCAAGACCACAAGAACAGAGGAGGCGAGAAAGTTCCGGGAAGAGTTCTTGATATCGAGGATGCGTGGATGCAGACTTTAGCGCAAAACTTGCTTGAGAAATCCCAGAAGTCATTGCGGCTGAATAAAGGAGGCGAAAAGTGCAGCATTCAATACCAATTCATTATTAAAGTTCAGAGATATAACTTTTTTTAGAAGTTTTCCTAAATAAGACAGTGAAAGTAAACTTTAACTTAAAAATCGTAATAAAGGCATAAACATACTATGGGTGTTTATTTGCTGAAATTTATAGTAAAATCTTTTTTATGTGTATTGTGCAAAGTATATTTGTACGGTTTTGTGCATGATATAGTGCATCCGAAAAAAATCACAGCGCTTCACTTTTTCCAATTTTTTTTTGCGCTTTTGATTCCAAAATGGATTCAAATATTTTATTTCCTCAAAATTCTACACACTATACCTCATAATGACAATGTGAAGATTTTTTTTTTAATGGTTGCAGCTTTATTAAAAGTAAAAAACCTGAAAATCACATTTACATTAGTATTCACATAGGATAGAGGGAAAGATGAATGTAGCAATGTACAGAGACATCCTAAATAAAAAAAACATGGTTCAGAGTGCTCTTGACCTCCGATTGTGGCAATGGTTCATCTTCCAGCAGGACAATGACCCAAAGCACAGAACAAAAATATCAATGGAGTGGCTTCACAACAACTCTGTGAATGTCCTTGAGTGGCCCAGACAGAACCCAGACCCAAATCCTATTGAACATCTCTGGAGAGATGTGAAAATGGCTGTACACCGTCGCTTCCCGTCAACAAGGTATAAAGCAAAGGCTGTGAATACTGATGTATATGTGATTTTTCAGGTTTTTAATTTGTAACAATTTCAAAAACTCTTTCTTCACATTGTCAAAATGGGATTTTGTGTGTAGACTGTTGAGGAAATAAAAGAATTTAATAAATTTTGGAATAAGGCTGTAACAAAAAATGTGGAAAAAGTGAAGCACTGTGAATAATTTCCACACTCACTGTATATATTGAAAAGGGGAAAAACTATAAATCGTTGTATGAATGCTGTAATTTTTAAATATCAAAAATACGTGAAGGTAATGTGACCATCAGGAAGAATGCAGCGTCTTCACGAGTGTTCTTTGAATTGAGAAACAGCCCATGGCTGTGACCAAAACCGCATACTTCCATACCATATAGTACGCTAAAATCAGTATGCGAGCTGAGTAGTATATCCGAATTCATAGAATTCAAAAATCAGTAAGCGAGAAGTACCCGGATGACTTCCGGCAAGATTCTGAAGTGCGCATCCCATGCATGCTTTGCTATACCATGATGCCCCGCGAGAGAATACATGAATAGAAGTGAAGTGATGCAACTGACGCAGGTAGGTCATGTGACCATGACAAAATGGCGGATGTAGTACATCCGAATTCCATTCATACATTTCACATTCATACTGTATAGAACGCATTTTTCTAACAGCCGAGTAGTACGTTTAAATTCAAATGCAGTACCTACTGAGTAGTAGGCGGTTTCGGGCACGCAGCCCTTGTCTCCTTAACCAAACACACTTGAATCAGATCAGCAACTTGGTAGCAGACACTGAAAAACCTGTAATGGGTGTGACAGACAAGGAAGACATCGAAAACATTCAGTGTTGGTGTTCCTCCAGGATCGTGGTTGAGAAACACTGATTTAAGCTGTGCGGTTTTACACGTTTTCATAGAAGATGTTTATTTAAAGAGATCATGCATTGAAATTGTTTTCACAGAAACAACCCCTCGTTTGGAGAAGCTCGTCCAAAGCAAACGACCAATCCATTTTTATGAGGACAACAGGTGACTAATGTTTTGTATATTATAGATTCCTTCAAATTAAATTAAAGTTTTTTAGATGTTAGTATCAGTATGTTTGATTTATGGATATCTGTAAGCTAGTGTGCTCCATAACAGTGACAAAATTTGCTAATATAAGATATAAACATCAAAAGCTTGTGGTTAATCACTTCCACCTAAATGGATCAATGATTTTTTTGACGTCACCTCAAACTTCAGTTTCTCATCAAATCTTCTCCCCAATCAAATGCTTTATAGTATCTGACATGCCCCGCCCCCTTCAAGATGCTTCATTTTGATGCGCTTGAGCTCAACCACTCTTGTTGGCAGAGCTGTAATAAAAACAAAAAGGGGAGGAGCTACTATATGTCCCGCCCTCTCCATGTTTCAGTTGAGATTGTCAAACATTGATTAAAAAAACGCACATTAAAACAATAAAGGTCCAAAAGGATTTACAATGATGACAAAAAATCATTTGGATCTCATGAAGAACCTTTCCGTGAACAGTCCTTAAAATGATTAAAAACGTAAAATAATTTACTCATCTTCCACTTGTTCTCAATCCTGTTTCTTTCTTCTGTTAAAAATAAAACCAGATATTAGGAACGTTGGAAACAGGTATCCGTTGGCTTTTAATGGTTACTAGTTTCCAACATTTTCAGTATACAGTCTTTTCTGTTCAAAAGGAACCCCTAAAGCTATGGAACCACTCGAGGATCCATAAATTGAGAGTAAATTTAATTTTTTTGTTGAACTAATACTTTAAAATATTAAATATGCTAACAATTCACGCTCTACAGAACTTTTCTTTTCACTTTTAAACAACTTTGTATGCATTCTAAAGATGATATAAATGTTAAATGCTCCTCATGGAGTCATCAATGACAATGAACACACTGTTTTTTTTAAGACGACACAACAAACGGTGACAGTTAAACTCGTACTCATTCCATTTTATCTTTGTTATTTCACTTTCACAGTATCCCATGATGCACATCTCATAAGTTAGTATCAGTTTAGAGTTTAATCATGGTCGTAAAACAACTGACGTCATCGTATAATAACATCTCTCCCAGTCCTGCTGTACTCTTTATAATTCCATTCCAGCACTCAGCTCAGTCTCAGAGCTCATCACTTTGCTTTAATTGGCTGTATTCAACTGATGATGGCATCTGTAATTTAGTTAATGAGCAAATATGAATCTTGGTCTCTCGGGTGCCATCTAGGTGAAGAAAGAAGCTATATTTAACTATATTTAACAGTAAGGTAAGAAAACAGTGTTCACAATTTACAATGTGTACAGTGCAGTATATACTTTAAAGTGCTTTTTCAGACATTGTTTTGTTTGTGTTGTAGATTGTCAAGAATTTTCTGTTCTATGAAAGCAAAAACACTTTGTATGCACTTCAAAAGCACGAGGACTTGAGCTCAGAAATTACAGTTAAAGTCAGAATTATTAGCCCCCCTTTCCATTATTTTGTCTTTTAAATTTTTTCCCAAATTATGTTTAACAGAGCAAGGAAATTTTCACAGTATTTCTGATAATATTTTTTCTTCTAGAGAAAGTCTTATTTGTTTTATTTCGGCCAGAATAAAAGAAGTTTTTAATTTTTAAAAATTATTTTAAGGTCAATACTATTAGCCCATTTTTAGCTTAATTTTTAGATAGTCTATAGAACAAACCATCATTATACAATAACTTGCCTAATTACTCTATCCTGCCTAGTTAAGCTAATTAACCTAGTTAAGCCTTCAACAATTTAAGTTGTATAGAAGTGTCTTGAAAAATATATAGTAAAATATTATTTACTGTCATCATGGTAAAGCCAAAACAAATCAGTTATTAGAAATGACTTATTAAAAAATCTCTTTGTTAAACAGATATTGGGGAAAACATGGTCACACTTTATAATAAGTTTCATTAGTTAATGTTAATTAATGCATTTACTAACATGAACAAACAATGAACAATACATTTACTACAGTATTTGTTCATGCTAGTTAACGTTAGTTGATGAAAATACAGTAGTTCATTGTTAGTTCATGTTAACTCATGGTGCATTAACTAATGTTAACAAGCATGGACTTGGATGTTAATATTGCATCAGTAATATTCAATTATGATTAATAAATGCTGTACATGTGTTGTTCATGATTAGTTCATGTTAGTAAATGCATTAACTAATGAACCTTATTGTAAAGTGTTACCAAAAACATAAACAAGGGGGCTAAAAATTCTGACTTAAAGTGTATATGTTTAAACTGACACCATTATTAATGTTTATACAGTCAAAATTGTTAGCCCTCCTGTGAAATAATTTGTAAAAGCTTCCCAAGTGCTGTTTAACAGGAGCAGGAACTAACTGCGTTTATTTTCAACACCTTTTTAAACTAAATATCAGCTTATTTCTAATAGCACATTGCTTTTGTCTTTGCCTTGGTGACATTTTTATAGTTATTTTGGAAGATACTAGTATTCTAGTGCAGTGTAATTCATTGTACTTTTTTTTTTTTTTTTTTTTTTTTGCGTAGCCAATCGAGAAAAAAATCTTAAGGAGGCCAATAATTAATTCGTTAATTTCTTCATTAATTCACAGATTTTTTTTTCATTCATTAATTCATTCATTCATTTCTTGTCATAGTGAGTCTGATATACGTGTCCTTGCAGAAGATCAGTGGAGTGGGTTGTTAGTGCAGCTGCGCTGAAGGCTTGTCCCTCTCAGAGGGTGTGTTCACTGGCACTGCCACGGCCACCTGCTGATGGATGGCAGCCTGACCGCCCTCTCATGGACACTGTGAGTAAATGCACTACATAAACTGAAAATAACAAGTACAGTTATAGTCAAAATTTTTAGCCCTACTCCTGTAAAATTTTACATATATTTAGATTATAATATAATGCATACGAAATAATAACAATAAGTCTGTAAATTAACAGAAATTTACATGCAGTTTATTCCAAGGTTTTTGTAGCGAAATATACAACACCAACCCAGACAATTTATCACTTTGTACTATTAAAAATGTTCACAAAAGTCACTTTTTCCAAGTTTTAAAGGTTAAAAGTTGTTTGGGAAAAAGATCAAGGTATCCCATAATGCAATTCATAATCATAAATGGTAAAAATAAAAGCATGAATCTTATCTTGCATATCTTGCAAAACCGCTAGTAAAATATCATTAAGTGTGAAAAGTTTTTCCTTTTTTATTATCTCAGTGGTTGCACTTCATCAGCTTTAATAAGTGCACCCAAACACTTCCTGTAGATGCACATAGTGATAGTAGAGTTTCTCACCTCTGTGGAGGAAGCGTCTCTCCTTCTCGCCTGATTCAGCGCTGTGACATTTGTGGGCTTTTTCCACACATAAAGACTGCGTAATTTAAACCATTTACCGCCAACATCCTATAAATAATACATCATGACACTAGCATAATCTAAACGCATTACAATCAGTTTGAGGGCTGTAAGAGCCATAATTTGTTTTAATACAATTTATTATTTTTATTAATATAATATAATTTTGTGTTGATGTGTTTAGTTGTGTACATTTGTTCATTTTAGCCTTACTCCTTTGTTTGTAATGGTGTTCTCCGCCATTATTGGACTGATTTAAGTTATATTATGAAATTGGAAAGTGAGAGAAAGACAGAGCAACACAGTTTTTTGAGTTTATTTATTTTTTCTCTTTTTCATAATTGTTCTTATTTTGTCGAATTTTACTATTTTTTAATATATATTTTTAAATATTTTATACATTTTTTTACAAATTTATATTTCTTTTTTTTATAACTATTATTGGCGAGGCAGTGGCGCAGTAGGTAGTGCTGTCGCCTCACAGCAAGAATGTTGCTGGGTCTCTGGTTTGAACCTCAGCTCAGTTGGCGTTCCTGTGTGGAGTTTGCATGTTCTCCCTGCCTTCGTGTGGGTTTCCTCCGGGTGCTCCGGTTTCCCCTCACAGTCCAAAGACATGCGCTACAGGTGAATTGGGTAGCCTAAATTGTCCGTAGTGTATGAGTGTGTGTGTGTGAATGTGTGTGTGGATGTTTCCCAGAGATGGGTTGCGGCTGGAAGGGCATCCGCTGCGTAAAAAACCTGCTGGATAAGTTGGTGGTTCATTCCGCTGTGGCGACCCCTAATTAATAAAGGGACTAAGCCGACAAGAAAATGAATAATTAATTAATAATTTTTTTCTTATTTTTTATATAATTTTTTTCTTATTTTTTTATCATTTTACTGCATAATTCAGTAAACATTTTTAATTGGAAAGAAACCTGAGTCAATTTATTGGCCATTTGATTTTCTAAAATACAGATATTACAAAGGCACTGATTTTTTTTGTTTGTTTGTTTGTTTGTTTGTTTTCACTGCATCAAAAGCAGAACATAAAGTTGGGTTCAATATAACTTTATTTATTTATTTATTTACTTAATTATACTTGTTTACTTATTCACTTTTTACTTCTTTACTAGTTTACTTATTTAGCAAAGAAATTGATTCTTGTTAGATATTTTTAGCTGTGTTTTCTTTCAGAGACTGCATCCTCTGAAGGCAAGTCATTCGAAGTCCACACAAGCTGAACCAAGTGTTTTAAAATGAGAAGATCTAGCCTGGATCTCATCACCAGGGAACCGTAACAGATGCTGTTAATATGCGCTGATAAAATTTGTAATGGCTTTTTTCAAAGTGATTTAAAAACTTATTTGAAGCGATCTGAAGGCAAAACAAGGTATCCAGAAGCTGGAAATAAATTTCCTTTGATCCATACATGTGCACATAAACATGCAAGCTGTCGATAAAATCACTCTTTAGTAAGACATGTCATACTCATTTTGTTTCTTTAACATGTGTCTAGATATCCAAGTAAAATAAACTTAATTCATACATTTAAACCAGAATTTTCTTTTTTAAAAACATCCTGCTGGGATCAGCGCACAATGAATCTTGGGCAATTCGAGGCTGCGAAGGATCCACCGGTTGTGTCCTTTATTACCGGCAAATGAAGGATGCATTTGGAGGCTGCGTTAGAAAAAGCCTGCACATTTTTTGAAATAAGACAGCCTTCATCGCTCCGTCATGGCGCAGGGCCCTTCGAATGCATCCTTCGGAGGATGCAGCCTCTGAAATAAGACACGGCTTTAGTTTAGTTATCTTAAAGGCATTTTTTAAATAACTGCTGTTGTTTTAAATGTTACGTAAGCATCACATCATTAGACTGATTTCTGTAGGACCATGTGACTGAATACAGGAGTAATGATGCTGAAAATCCAGCATTAAATCAGAGGAATAAAAATAATTGGCGGTTATTAGAAATTAGATTGTTGTTTTTTTGTTTCTATATACATTGTTATATATTTGAGAAAAGTGTTTCTCAAATACTGTGGCCAGGATTCTGACCAGAACCAGAAAATCAGAGCACATCACACCTGTCCTCAGGTCTGTACACTGGCTCCCAGTTAAATTCAGAATAGATTTTAAAGTATTATTACTTGCCTATAAATCACTAAATGGCCTAAGACCTCAATACTTTACAGATATGCTCACTGAATACAACCGATTCCTCAGATCATTAGGATCAAGTAAATTAGAAATTCCAGGAGTTCAGTCAAAGCAGGGTGAATCAGCTTCCAATGATCAGATGTGCTCCAACATTAGGCACGTTCAAATCAAGACTGAAAACACATCTGTTTAGCTGTGCCTTTACTGAATGAGCACTGTGCTGCGTCCGACAGATCACACTATTATGTTTTTCTTGTCTTTTTCTCTTGTTTTTAATATAATTTTTAAAATTTTTGTTGTTTCTTTTTACTCTTGTTTATGTAAAGCACTTTGAATTACCATTGTGTATGAAATGTGCTATTTAAATAAACTTGCCTTTATGGTGATTAATTATAAAACTGCTTAATTTATAATTATAAAAAATAAATGTATTTTCTGTTATGATATAATATTAGACTTCAGGTTTATATTTCCAAATATAGTGCTTTATTCACATTTTAGCTAATGTTTCCGATGTTTTTTTTTTGTAATTGTGATTCAAGCTTTTAAATGTGAAGTAAAGGTTATTTTAAAACTGGGACAATCCCTTCAACTTGTCCCACCCTGCCTTTCTGTTTCATTATGAAAGATTTTATCGACACTGGAAAAAAATAATGACCCTTCAAGCCATTTCCTGTTTTTTTTTTTTTTTAAGTATTAAATCTAGCTGGGTGGACAATGCTAAAGAGATCTGTGCTATAAATATTATGTTTTTTTAATGCTTTTCTTATGTTTTATTCTGCTTTTCATGTCATTCAGAAATATTTTATTAATGCTCTAAAAATGTATCTTTACCCAAAAATGAAAGTTGAAATTTATGAAATTTACTATTTAATTAGGTGACTTTTTTCCTCAGTATATTATTGTAGAGGATTTTGAGGTGAAGCTGTGATCCTCAGTGACGCATAAAACACAAGTCACTGGGTATCAGCATTTTAATCGTCAAAAAAGTGGAAGCAAATCTAAACAATACCTGTAGCTCATCATCTTAAAAGGTTGGTTCACCCAAAAATGACAATTCTGTTATTAATTACTCACCCTAATATTGTTCCAATCCTCCTGAGACTTATGTTTACCTTCAAAACACAAATTAAGATATTTTAGATAAAATCCTGGAGCTCTCTCATCCTTCATAGGCAGCAATGGTTCCAAGTCCAGAAAAGTTTTGTCAAAGCATTTAATTTAACTTCAGTGGATCACCGGTAATCATACGAAGCTCTGAGAACACTTTTGTGGTAAAAATATCACTGCAAAAAAACACTTTTTAAATTGTTGTATAGTCACAAAAAAACAAAATAACCTTTTTTTGCTTTGCAGGTTGCTAGGGTATTCCAACTCTATATAACCTTGTATATAATGTTGAGTTTCTTACATACAGATCAATCACTTTGCTTCATAAGACATCAGTGTAACATCAAGAGCCACAAGTGTTAATTTTGTTTTTCTTGAATCAGTTTTTTGACTCTCATAATTCCAGTAACTGTTGAGTCACCAAGGACTAAAGTTTCAGCTAAAAATCTTCTTTGAAGTACAACTAAAGAAAGACGTTCACCCAAATCTTGAATGCCCTGAAAATGAGCCGATTAAACACTTATGCCAACTTCAGACTGCATGATTTTTGCCCTGATTTTGACTCGCCACAGGTTTTGAGAAATCGTCGACAAATGCCTGAAATCACTGTCACTCACGTGCACGAGCACTGATTTGCCTATCACACAGTGTGAACTATCAAAGACATGATCTGAGAGAATCGCAGATGAGTCGCTGATGCCTGTGAGATATTTGGCGTGCTAAATATCTGGAGCTGTCGGCGAGTTAAATCATGCAGTGTGAAATGAGTTTTGACTGAATAGAACAGCGGCGATCACCTACAGCCAATGAGAGAACAGCATTCACTAGCGTGTGTGTACCTGCAGGCCAGCGAAAGGTTGAGGGAGAAGATGAAAGCGCTCATTTGGTTTATTTGGTCCCAAGAAATGGAGGAAAAACTAGTGGAGGTTTGACTGGAGCACCCGTGTCTAGTTGACGTTTCATACAGAAAGCTAAAAAAAAAAGTTGAGGAGAAATTGCTAATACCCCTTCAAACCCAGGTGAGCAAATATGTACATTTTTTTTATCCCATTAATGGTTTCTTTCTCATTATGTAGTTAATAACAAAACATATACTACGTGTTTTTGGCTGTGAGATGTGTTTTGGATGAAGTTGTCGGTGACTCTTTCTATTGTAAAGTCATGCAGTGTGAAAGCCCCTGTCGCCGATCCATCTTGTAGTGTAAACAAAGCAGCGATGAAAAGCTTGCCCAGATAGTCATGCAGTGTGAAAACATCTGAGACGCGACTACTTTGAAAATCAGGCAGTCTAAACTCGCCATTACTTTCTTTTTTTGGTTAAATCAAGGTAATTATGTGGTTTTGCGTTTTTTTTTTTTAAGCTAGTTTTTATTTTGAAACTATTTTGTTTTTTGTTCTGTTGATTTCAGTTTTAATTCGTTTGTTAGTTTTAGTTTTTTAGGTTTTTTTGTGAACACATTTCTTTTTAGTTTTTATATATTATATATACATTATATATATTTTATATAAGTTTTAGTCATTTTACTTTAGCAGAATTAAAAGAACATATCCAGTGTCGACCAGAGCAAAGGGTAATGTTTGCACAGCTTACAGTAACTCCTGTGAAAATTTCTTAGTAATAAAATTAAATAAAACAATTGTTTAAACAGACACTGAAACCAAAACCACACAAATCCAACAAGTAAATTATAAAAGATTTTTAAAAAAATGACAACAAACTTTTTAGATATTAAACCTCAGTGGGGAAAATAAGTATTGAACGTCACCATTTTTCTCAGAAAAATAAGAAGATTTTCTATTTTTATAGGTGCTTTTGACTTCAAATCTTCACCGGATGTTGATAAAAACCAAAGTAATCCATATATGCAAAGACGACAAAACAAATTAGCTTATGAATGAAGTTATGTGTAATAAAATTAAATGATGCAGGGAAAAATATTAAAAACATGAAGAAAGAGAGGTGTGGAAACGCAGTGAAAACCCACACAATGATCCAAAACACAGTCAAGAAAACTCTTAAATGCTTTCAGAGTAAAGCTGTAGAATGGCCCAGCGCCCCAGCCAATCACCTGACTTGAATCCAATAGAGAACACAAAAAGAGATCAGATTTGATAGACGAGACCCACAGAACCATCAAGATTTTTACACTGTTGAAGTCTGTGAAAAACTCACACCTGAGCAATGCATGTGACTTCATTTTTTTATATAAAGTATTAAATACTATTCAGTAGTTCAGTACTTTCTCCTTGTGTTATTTCATTGTTATTACACAACTCATTTTTCATTTTTTTGTTTTGTTTTATCTTAGTTTATATTGTTTGGGTTTTTACCAAAAATCTGGTTCAATTCCTTGTCAACAGCTCCTTTAGAAATATTTTTTTGCAGGAAAAAACATGACGTGTTTAATACTTATTTTCCTCGCTGTATATAATGTTAAACATGCCTTGTTTAGATTTCTTTGCCAAATGAACATAAGTTAAACACATTATTTTAGATAGAAAACATATTTTTGTGTATAACCATGTGCTTGACTGATGTGTTTGTCAATAAAAGCACATTTACATTTGTTTCTATAAACAGTCGCAGGGCAGATTTCTGCCACAGAATGAGTGCTTATTATTTTTCAAAACTATTATATTTTTTCTGATTATTATTATTTTATTTAAGTTCCTTTTTCAGTCACTTTTGTTTAGTTTTAGTTTTTCATTTATTGTCTTTTTTTTTACATTTTATTTTAGGAACTCTTTTGAACACTAGTATTGTTCTTTGTTTTAGTTTGTTTTTTTTTTAAATTACCTTGCGCTTACCTTTTTGCTACAGTTTTTCACTGTTCTTCTGGTTACTCCAGGTGTGTGTGCTGTGGAGCTCAGTGTTTCATCATCACATCAGAAGCTCGCCCTCCAGCACATTCCCCAAAGTTTGCTTATCACGATGACACATGGCATATCTTTTTTGTTTGCTCCTTTACAGTTGAGTGTTGCGGTTAAAACGGCCAAACCGAGTCCAAGGATCTGTTATCTGGCGCAACCGAAGCAAATAAAGATGACATTAACACACTTCAGCGTGGAGTCCAGTGAGCACGAGATTGGCATCAGCACTACCCCCTCCGCCCGCCTGCTGCGGCTGGCCTGTGAGTGGACATAATGTGCTGATATTCAATAATTCAATATACAGTTGGAGTCAGTATTATTATCCCTCCTGAATTATTAGCCCACCTGTAATTTTTTCCCCAGTTTTTGTTTAATGGAAAGAAGATTTTTTTTTTTAACACATTTCTAAACATAATAGTTTTAATAACTATTTTCTAATAACTGATTTATTTTATCTTTGCCATGATGACAGTAAATAATATTTGATTAGATATTTTTAAGATACTAGTATTCAGCTTAAAGTGACATTTAAGGGCTTAACTAGGGTAATTAGGTTGTCTTTTGAACCTCTAGTCAATATCGTGACAAAAGCTTCATCTGTTAAATGCAAAAAGACCAAATGTGATACCTGTGAGTGCATTTCAAAGAGGCTTTAATAATCGTTTACACTTCTTATCTTTTATTATTTGCATTCTCAGCTCCTAAGCAGGTGCATCCGCAGCATACACTCGCCCGCTCTGTTTCCTGGCCAATTCCAAAACACGTACTGAAGGCTGGAGCCAGCGAGAGGCTGCAGGTTCTGGCACGTCCTAAAACCCGTCAGGCCCTGTTTGAAGGCTACAATCCATACCGGGTCAGTCCTGCCGCCGGCTCCGCCACCGCCTCCCCCAGACTACTGGAGCTGTCATTACCCCTGCCGCGCAAATGCAGAGAACAGTAAACCAGCATTTCAGCCAGCCATCACTACTGAGGCTTTTGGGAACATTTTTATCATATGCACTGAGATAAAAAAAAATTCTGCTGAATGTACAAAATGATAAATTATTAGGCAAGGCAAGCTTACTTCTATAGCACATTTCATACACGATGGTAATCCAACTTGCTTTACATAAACAAGAATAAAAGAAACATTAAATACAATGTAAGAAATAAAAAAAACAAAGAAAAAGAATGATTAAAAACAGATTAAAATGTGTATTAGTCCTCATGTAATTATTTTTAAAAATATTTCAGTGCTGTTTAAAATGTTTTTAGAGGCTAAATTCTAATTAAATACCAGCAAAATGCCTGTACTACTTTACAATGTGATGTCTACTTTATAAATGTTGTCAAACGTTTGAGACAATTTGGCCTGGTGAGTGGTGGTTCTTTTTTCTCAAAATGTGGACTTTTTTTTTGCAGTTATTCACCTCATTTTCTATTTAATTTCTATGCAATAAGTGGCATTTTAAGCACTATTTTTAGCTGGATTAGCTTGTCGTATCCTTCATTTTTGATATACCAAAATATTTCTTAAAGATTTATAATAAACAAATATAAAAAAAAGAGCTTCAAGATTTTCTTTTAGCCTCTCTTAAAAATTAATCTAACAACAACAGCCTAATTAGTATAAACAGCAAAAGTCAGTCTAAGGCACTTGAAAAATGTGGAAAAAATGTTGAAAAGCCTTCACTGACATGTTTATTTCTTAAAACTGCGCCTACATGTTTTAAAAACATTTGCCTTCATCAGGGTTACCTGATGTAGCCGCAAATGTTTATTCTGATTAATCCCTTGCACAAAGAGCACCAACACATTATTGAAGCTACCCTGAAAACTTTTCAATTTATTTTGGATTTTTATACACAGCCTAATTAGTATTAAAATACTAATTAAAATGAACTTTAATATGGGCTGCTTTTGGTGCTTCGGACCTTTCATTGGTCATTTTTTCTCTCTCAAAAATAAAGTTCAAGGTTTAAAATAAAAGTTAGGCTACTTGTAAAATGTTTTTTTTTTTTTTTTTTACAAGTTGGTCAATAGTGAAAGTTGACTTCACTTTCGTCAAATTGTGCATTTTCTTAAAACCTTCAATGGGTTATTTCCACAATTTATGATGATGTAGCAGTCAAAATAGGTCAAATGAGAATATAGTAGCAAAAATTCTGGATCAATGGCAAATTCTGGACCTTTGTCACTGTGGGGGTAGTTCTTTTAACCCCCACCTTTTTAAAGGTTGATGGTTCGAGTTCTGGCTGGGCCAGTTGGCATTTCTGTGTGGATTTTGCATGTTCTTTCCGTGTTGGAGTGGGTTTCCTCCGGGTGCTCTGGTTTCCCCCGCAGTACAAAGACATGTAGTATAGAAGAATTGGGTAAGCTAAATTATCCGTAGTCTGTGTGTGTGTATTGATGTTTCCCAGTGATGGGTTGCAGCTGGAAGGGCATCCGCTGCATACAACATATGCTGGATAAGTTGGGGGTTCATTCCTTTATTTCTCAATAAAGGGACTAGGCCGAAAAGAAAATGAATGAATAAATAAACAATTGAAAATAAATATTCCTTAAGGGGACTAATAATTTTGACCTTAAAATTGTGTTTAAATTTTTTTTAAATGCTTTTATTCTAGCTAAAATAAAACAAATAAGACTTTCTCCAGAAGAGAGAACATTATCGGAAATACTGTGGAAAAACTACTTGCCCTGTTAAACATCATTGGGGAAATATTTAAAAACTATATCAACTTTCGCAGGAGGGCTTATCATTATATCTTGAACTGTCTCTATTGTTTCACTTATGTTGTTGTTTACAGCCTACAGTAAGTAGTGCACAGCATGCTAGTGTTCATCTGCAATTATAGGCAGTTGAGTTCGTTCAGCTGCGCATATTATACAGTATATTGACATTACAAGTTATTTAGTTAACCGTACTGTTGTGTTTGATGAGCAATAATTGTATTTCTCCAGCCTGATCCACAAAGCACGTCTCACACATCTGCTGAGGATTTATTTGTGTGCTCCGAGCTCCAGAGCGAGGAAAAAAACACTCATTTGCATGTTATTGAATGAGAATCTGAAGCGGGACTGTACCAGTTCCAATATCCTGCTGTAACGGCTCTTTAGGGAAGCCGATAGCTGAAATGTGGGCCTCTTCTGTGCCGCTCTGATTATTTACCCTCCGCTTATAAGGCCGAGCTGTTTTACTTCAGCGCTGCTCATTTGAATCCGTAATCTCAAATGTGAATTTTATTGCCTTGACTCAGCTCTACATGCTGAAACAATTACAGCACAATGGGGAAATTTCACTATGACTCATTTTAAAGCAAATTTTGGATGCTAGTTACATCATTTGACGACATCTGTACGTTAGAGTGGTCCGTTATTGTTTTTCTGAGCAAATTAAGATCACATTTTTGTCATTCAGTGTAACAACAGTCGTGTCTAGCATATTTAGAACAAGAATTGTTTAATAATTTAGGTGGACTGAAAAAAATGATTCACTGGATTAAAGTAAGTGATTGCAAACTATTTATATGGACTGAATTTAAACAAACAAATTAAGTTGAACATTACTAAATTTACTTTTAACAGTCCCCGCCACTCAAGCCCGTAGCCCGGGGGGTTCAGGGGGTTCGAAAGACCCACCCCGCACTAAGGTCATAAATTTATCCAACTCATTTGTCCTATTTTGACTGCTAAGACAACATAAATTGTGAAAATAACCCATCAAAGGCTTTAAGCAGAATCCGACGTGTAAGAGGCTAAATTATCATATGCATTTGTTTATATGACAAAACATACTTCTTGACTCAAGAAGGTCCATACTGACTACAAAGCCAGATACTGTTAAGATCAGGGCCTGATATGTGGACTTTGGGGGTTTTATGGTGTGCTCACATGTTGATTGGTCAGTTTGAATGTCTTAAATGGCTTTAGTCACATGGTCAAGAAATATTCAAAATAGTTGGTAAACCCGAGCTCTGGCTCTTGTCCTGCCCTCCCTTTTCCTGGCCTGCGTCTCTCCTGCTCTGCTCCTCTCGTCCTCTGGAGTCTATCTTCTCTGACTCTACTGCAATCAGGCTTTTGGGCCTGCTCTCTTTGTCTCTCTCTCCCTCCCACTGTGTCTCTCCATCTACCTCTGGTAACTTTAATTTTACATTTAAGCTGGGTACAATTTATACAATATGTTTGATCATTTCATATTTGATCATTTTATACAGTATTTTGTTATTAATTCAGTTGTAACCATAGAGAATTATTGTCATTAAATCATTTCATTTTCAAGTATTTGTGAATTACTTTTGATTTAACATCAACACTTAATTGTTCCATATTGCAATACAATACAATCACATAATATCAACGCTCTCCCACATTTATAGCTATTAATACTGCCCTTATTTCCGTTTTTGGTATGAGACTGCAGAAGAATGGTTTGACTAGAAATGTACAGTTTTTTACCATCATGCTGATTACTTTCTGATTACTTTTTAGTCACTCGGCAGAACTACAGTTCGAACCGCTGTGGTTTAAAGACCGCTCTTACAGACGTAAGTGAAGTCATCTTTCGTTACTGCATTGTTGTTAAATAGAGAAAACATTTTACAAGGAACTTTTATTCTAGATCTTGGACCTTATTCTTGAAAGAAAAAAATGGCCAAATGTCATTACTAATTAGGCTGTTGTTGTAATCCATGGATTTTAACTACTTTTTACAAGAGAGGCTAGAAAAATCGTCAAGCTCTACATTATTATTATTATTAATTGTTCAATATTTAGGCAGCATGGTGGCGCAGTGGGTAGCACGATCGCCTCACAGCAAGAATGACTTGCGGTATGAAGGGGTACGTATCCACAATGAGCCTGTGTTGGAAAATGTGAGGCTTTTGTCGCGTAATAATCAACACCAACCCAGACAATATATCACTTTAAACTATTAAAAATGTTCATAAAAGTCACTTTTTCAAACGTTTCAAGGTTAAAAGTTGTTGGAAAAAAGAATAATATCTCATAATTAGGGATGTAACGGTATTGTAAATACCGTCATACCGCAATATTAATTTTTTTCGATATTACCGAAGTCGCATGACTCTGTAAAACTATAGGTCTTCTGAGAAAATTTGCTCAGGCGAATGAAGCGAACGGGAGGTACCGGAAACTACAATTCCCATCAGCCCATGCTTGACCATCATCCCTTGCGGTCTGTTGTCGCTACAGATCCAGTAATGCGGAAATGGAGTGTGCTGCTAGAAGCGGGGATGAAAAAGAGCTGTAAAACTTTAAAGCGGGTGTTGTCGCCGCGCGCGTACTGAATAGCAGTGTTGTCTTATCAGCTGTGTTGTCGCGCGAGTTCTTATCAGCTGTGTTGTCGCGCGAGTTCTTATCAGCTGTGTTGTCGCGCGCGTACTGAATAGCGGTGTTGTCAGCACACTGTTCAGATTGATGCAGACATGAGATCTCTATCTTACCCATGGTTTGTCCTCTCAAGTGGGGGTAAGACAATGCACAACGTTACCCACTGCTGTCAACCTGGGCCAAGTCATATCTCTCTTGTCCCAGAAACCTCAGTCCCAAATGAGAGGGGTTTTTTTCTGTTGCAGGGGACATTGTAAATCCCCAGAGATACCAGCTTTTACCAGATTATATTTATATGATAATTTTCCTTTAAACCCATCTCTATCTAAGTGAGTAAGTTAGTGATTAAATGTTGAATGTGATGAGTTTTCAACACTACTAAATTGAAACTTTATTTTTTTACATGGTTTAATATTTTTTTGTTATTAAAATTGAAGTTCCTGTTTCAAAGCTTACAGAAAGATGGCTAATTTGTATGTCATTGACACTTTTGACACTTTTTTGGAGTATTTTCATAAGTTTTGTTTTTTCCTGTAAATGATTCAATAAATACCGTACCGTGACATTCATACCGAGGTATTACCGTACCGTGAAATTCTGATACTGTTACATCCCTACTTATAATGCAATTCAAAAGTGTAAGACGTGAGATATCACAAATGTTTTGATGTCTTTGACAATTCAAACATGAGCCGAAAACAGACAATCGGCTTCACAACCCAGCAGGTGGGAATGCGGGAAAAACCAGCTCCCCTCCATTCCTCCATTTACATTTGAAACATTTCTTAACTCACACTATGGTCATTTCAAAGTCTGA